TGATAGAGCGAGAGACCATCTTTGGTGTCTCTTTAGTGTCAGAAGGGAACTAATCCCAGTGTGGGGGCTCTACCATCCCACTCTAACGTGTCCCACCCACTGGTCCCACCTCCAAATTCCATCCACTGGGGATTTGAGCTTCAAAATATGCAGGCACAAAGGTTCAGTCTGCAGCTTTTTGTTTGGTTTCTAATTGCATTGGATTTTCTTCTCTTCTGAGTTGTACTTTTCCTTTTTCTGAGCTCCCCTCCCTCATCACATCTCCATGTCCAGCACATCGACATCCATGACAGGATTCAGTTTTGGATTCCTTCCTCACCACTGCCAAGTCCCGTGTGCTTCCTGTCAATTCCTTCCAGAACATCCAGAATTATGCCAGAGCTCTGGGAGAGAAATGCCTCTTCATAGGGAACAGAAAAGCTGTTCCAGCTACAGAAAGGACTTTCCCACCAGGAAAAAAAAAAATGTTTCCTTAATTCATGGGCTTTTCTCACTCTCAGGGATATTTGTGATTTAACTGAACCATACAAGATTATTTTAACTTCTTTATTTATCAGATAGAAGAGCAAGGTAAGAGTTGTTAGATTCATTTTTCCATTCCATTTTTGGCAGTAAGTACTTTGCTTCCTCCCCCATCAGGAAGGAAGTCTGTGGGTGTACCATAATTTCATGTGCTGTTAAGCAGCCCGAGGTGGTCAAAGTTTGAAAGTAACTGCTCATACAGACCTGAGTCCATCTTTGGTTGGTCTCCAGGTCACCATTCTCTTGGCCACTACTGGTAACTTCTACAAAGGCTCCTCCTCTTCACATTCCCAACCTCTGAATAGAGGAGTGCTTGGAATTTCAGCCCTTGGATTTTTTTTCTCTAGTGAATCTATACCTGCTAGAATCTTCCTTCTCTGGCATCATCTCCCTTTGACTTTAAATATCAAGTATTAGCAGATGTTCCCAAATTTCTATCTCTAGCCTGAACAGCTTTCTGAACTCCAAATTCCTCGCTCCTCTTGGATCTAAAACTTAACATGTCCAAAACTGAATTCTAGATTTTTCTCCCTAACTTGCTTTCTTTCTACTTTTCCCATCTCAATAAATCACAACTCCACTCTTCCAATTGCTCCAGCAAAAGCTTTGAAGTCATCCTTGAATCATCTCTGTTACAGATCCACCAGCAAACCCTTTTTGCTGTTACCTTTAATATCTATTCAAAATCTGACCATTTCTTACCACCACCGCCTTAGGGCAAGCACACCCTCCATCCTGGATTGTCAGAAGAGCACCCTGACTGGTTCCTATGATTGTCCTCCTTTCCTTCTGCTGTATATTCTCCACAAAAGGAACTGTCCCCTTAAAATGTATCACACCATGTCAATCCTGTTCACAACCCTCCAAAACATCCCATCTCACTTATGAAAATAAACGGCCACATCCTTTCCATTGTACCATGGCCTAAAAGGCCCTACGTGACGTGTTCCCCTGCTATTATTCTGACTTATTCTGCTAATCGAATCCTCACGTAACCCACTCCGGTCAGGAGTTGCCTCAGCCACTAAGCAATCCACACGGTGTCCCAGATGTTGACTCCTTTTTAAAACAGAAGGAAAAAAATCCTGGCTGGGTGTGGTGGTACATGCCTGTGCTCCCAGTTACTTGGGAGGCTGAGGCAGGAGGATAGCAAGTTGGAAGCCAGCCTCAGCAAGGGTACAGTGGTGGTTACCAGAGACTGGAGGGGTTATAGGGGAAGATGTTGGTCAAAAGATACAAAATTACAGTTTGATAGGAGGAATTAAAAAATTCAAGAGATTTAGTATCATATAGGGGGTGACTATAGTTAATGATAATAGGTTTTACTCTTAAGCAAAAGCTTTGAAGAAAAATGGTAAGCTAATGGATGATAGGTGTGTTCACCACAAAAATGACAGCTATGGGCTGAGTGCAGTGGTGTATGCCTATAATCCCAGAACCTATGGAGGCTGAGGCAGGAGGATCACAAATTCAAGGCCAACCTAAGCAACTTAGCAAGATCAAAAAAAAAAAAAAGGCTGGGGATGTGGTTCAGGGGTAAAGTGCCCTTGGGTTCCATGCCCAGGACCCAAAGGAAAAAAAAGAAGACAATTATGGGCTGTAATGCATGTGTCGGTTAGAGTTAACCTTTCCATGATGTACATGTACTTCAAAACATCGTGCTGTGTTCTATAAATACACACAATTTTATCTGTTACTTTAAAAATAAAATTGAACATTCTTTAAATAAAAAGAAAAGGAAAATTGACCTTATCTTTTCAAGCTTTACCTTTTTATGACTTTTTTTTTAAAAAAAAAAATCTTTCCTTCTATAAAGTTTTCTTCTCCTTTTGTGTCTCAATGAATTTGAAAGGTTCACTTTTAATTTTATTCTCCATTAATCACGGCTTTCAACTATGGGCAAGTCATAAGATATTGCTATATTACCTATAAGTTTAGCCAGACACCAGTGTCTTTACAGGAGATCAGAAAAATAGCTTAAATAATTCTCTGTCATTAACTAAGAAGAAACATTATGATAGGGAGTTTTAAGATCATTCAGAAATTGATTTGTAAAAATTAGTTTTCTTTTTTATATGCATACATGGAAATTTACCCATGACTCACAATCTTGAATCAATCCTAATTTAGTCTTTTACTTTCATTTTATTTTGTGTAAAAATGGACTCTTTATATAATGCCTTGTACTATGGGTCTTCAGATGACCCACAACTTAAAATGGTTTGACTTGTGAACTTTTTTTTTTTTTCTCTGTGGTGCTGGGGATTGGACCCAGAGTCCTGTACATGCAAGGCAAGCACTCTACTGACTGAGCTATATCCCCAGACCTGACTTGTGAATATTTGACTTTATAATGGTTCAAAAGTAATACAAACTTAGTAGAAACCACAGTGTGAGCTTTGAATTTTTTTCTTTTCCTGGGTCAGTGATATGTGCTCACAAGAGGATATCTTGTGATGCTGGGCAGTGGCAGTGACCCCCAGTTCCCGGTTACTCACAGGCTTACTAGAATAAACAGCCCATACACTACACCAGACCATGTGGCCAAGCTAGGATGTTATGTGTATTAAATACATTTTATTTTATGATGCTTTCAATATCTGATAGGTTTATTGGGATGTGATCCCATCATAAATTGAGAAGTATCTTCTCTTGCTTGCTTTTTCTTCTATTGCAATGTTTGGAAATAGAGACCTTCGAGGTATTTGAATACTTAGCAGTGAAAGCTGTTAAAGACAGAATATCAATTCCTGGGCTGTTCCTATCAGGGTGCACAATGAAATACATAATTGAATTCTCTGTTCTTTCCATTTCCTTATTTCAATGAAGTTAGTCAGAAAACAACACACTTATATTTCATGGCTCATGTACATGTTTTTGTTTCCTAGTGTCCCCTTTTGGACTACATGTTCTTTTTGCTAACACCAGTTTAAACTGGCCAGACTTCAGGCAAGTGGTTTCCCAGTCCTGACTTTACAACTGGGGGGAACTGAAGAAAAGTTCTGATGGTCCAGCTCTTCCTAAAGATCGATTGAATATTTTGAGTCTATACACATATCTTGGTTATTTTGTTACCATGTCACCAAAGCCCATTATTTTCTACCATCTCTTTTGTCAACTAACAAATTATTTTAATCCACAAAAGAAAAATGAAACTCTCTGGGTGTGATGGTGCATGCCTGTAAACCCAGTGACTCTGGAGGCCAAGGTAGGAGGATCCCAAATTCAAGACTAGCCTGGGAAACTTATTGGGACCTTGTCTCAAAAAAAAATATAAAAGGAGTGGTGGGGTGTAGCTTGGGGAAAGAGCATCTCTGGGTTCAATTCTCAGTACCAAAATAATAATAATAATAATAAAGAAAAAGAAAAATGGGCCATAGAAGTGTTTACTTTTAGAAACTAAAATCAAGTCGACTCTCAAGATGTGTTTGGCCCTTTCAACACCATGGTGGTGCACAGAAAGATAGCCGGGTGGGGCTGCATGCCTTCATATAAATTTCAACACCTACCTTGGGTCCCAAAATAAATATTTTTAATATTGTTTCATTCCAGACTGTTCAAACACACATTATATCAGCTTGTCTGCATATTCTAATGTAATAACACAAAGTTTCCAGCAGCTCATTCTCCATGTTTTTTCACCAAATATTAATTCCTTGTTAGGTGTATTCCACCTCTAAATATTACAACAGAAAAAGATTTCAAGATGTAGTACTCACCAGCACCGTATTTTTGAGGGTTTTCAAAACCAAAACTAAGTTAAAGAAAACACCACAGTTTTCCACACAGGTACAAGATGGCCTCCAACCCTCTTCCTCAGAGCCATTGATGAATATGGGTGTTCTCCTCATCTTACTTCTCTGAAAGAAGTAGATAGGGCAGAGGTGCCACCGACTGGAAGAGTGGAGGAATGAAAGCAGCCCCACAGGAAACACCTTTTGTTCCCAAGTCCTCCTGGAGACGGGTGTGGAAACCCAGTGGGTCAATATGGCTAACCCCTAACCTCACGACCTCTGATCAGGCTTTGTTCCAGGGTTTCCACAGAGTTTGACAGAAATAATAGTTTTCTCACTCCAATAAGAAACATTTTAAAGAATGGTTTAGGTATGGTGGAAACGACAGGAAAAAATGGAATTAAAAAAGCTCAGTGGCAGAGCGCTTGCCTAGCAGGCCTAAGGCCCTGGGTTCAATCCCCAGCACCATTAAAAAAAAAAAAATACACCCACAAAGACACACACATAGTTTCTATATTTTCTGTCAAGTTATTTCTTATAAATTTGTATTTTTAAAAATATTCCACAGCATTAGGGCTGGGGTTGTGGCTCAGCAGTAGAGCGTTTGCCTAACACGTGTGAGGCCCTGGGTTTGATCCTCAGCACCACATATTAATAAATAAAATAAAGGTATTGTTTCCACCTACAACTAAAAAAAAAAATTGTTTTAAATATACCACAGCTTTTTTTTTTCTTTTAGCATTTTCTTCTCCCAATTGGTATAAAATAAGCAACAATATCCTCCTTTGAAGCCTCTCTCTATGTAGCCTGAAGTTCGCAAAGAGGAAGCTTTAACCCTCTGTGAGGTGAATGCCAGGAATTGAAGAGTAACTTACCAAAAGTCATCCAGGAAGCTGGCATGTGTGTGTTTGTAAAGGAAGAAGGACAGAGCCAGGGTGTTTTGTGTCATGTAAGGACACACATTGACCTTTGACATGGAAACAGGTAGGACTATTATTCCTGTACCACACTTCCAAGTTAGAAATTTAACCTCACCTTTGACCATTCATACCCTCATGGCACAATAAAGAGTCCACGTTGATTAGGCACAGAACCATTGACCCTTAAGAGTTCTAACAAAACTGCCACCATTTCCTCCTTCCATTTAGTTCCTTCCTGACCTCAGACAAGCCCAGTGGTTTCCCAGTGGTCACCTGGAGATGCAGGATTAGAACCAGGTATCTTCTTTGGTCTTCTCTGGAGACATGAGATTACAACCAAGTATCTTTTTTGGTTATCTCAGTGATAACCCATTCCCTAAACTACTCTTTTTTTTTTTTTCTGAGAAACAATATTTAAATCGCAAGCCAAGAGAAGACCATGTATCTTAATATGACTGGTAAAATGTTCAAGTCAAAGCAATAGAAAATACCAACCTCAGATACAGAAGCCCTGGATTCAAGGCTTGACTATGCTCCTAATCCTAGACAGTCATTCTGTGAAATGGGGGAATTGGATTTTATGACATTGATGGTCTCCTTCAGTTCTAGGTGGTGCACCCAGACATATCTGGCAATGAACCTACACTGTGGAAACACCTGTGCCAAGACTTCCCATCCGGGCAACACTGCCTGCTTGCTCTTCCTCGGCCCTGCCCAGCACATCCTCCTCTGCTCTGACAGCCCCAGCCTAACCCAGAGACTGTACCTGGTCCCATGTCATTGCCTGTTGTCTCATTCCTGAGAGATTAAAACAATTGTCATCTACATTTACATTCAGAACACCCAGACCTGTGTATTATCCTAGAGAAAGAGGTGTTCCTCTTCAAGAAAGCAATAAAATGTGTCTCTCCATTTGTGTTTTCAGAGTTTTTTAAAGAGCAGTGTGCTTGTTATTTAAGTGTTATGATATGCAGACAGAGGGGAAAAAAAATACAGTCAGGGTACAGTAGCTACACTGGGTTTTGCTCCAAAGGCAGGAAATAGCTTGGCCAATCTGAAAATAAAATATGCTTCTCTTAAGCAGTTAAGCTTGTTAGACTCCTGGTCTGGTGGCAGGAACAGTGTTGAATACATAATGTGGACATGCTAATGCTCCTTTTTTCCAGGAGACTTTTTTTTCCCTATCACTTTCCTATTTTTTTAAACCCACAAAAAGATTCCAAACTACAGAAAAGGATGATGTGCTGATGTTTCAACCATCTTTTCCCCTCCAGATTTATTTCCCCAGTTGCCCCTACTCAGGCACACCCTCAGGGAAAGGAAAGCTCTCAGCCCACCAACTTCCGGCTGTCTCAGAAGAAACCCACTTTTCCAGAAAAGCTTCTAAGTAGGTCACTTCCCTTTTCTAGCTTCTCTACAAATTCCCTATGCGTACTTGTCCTCTATTCTACTTTGAAAATTGAATTACCACCAGGTGTGGTGATGCATGCCTGTGATCCCAGCAACTCAGGAGACTGAAGCAGGGGAATAGCAAGTTCAAGGCCAGCCTGGGCAACACAGAGAGACCCTGTCTCAAAATAAAAAAGGGCTGGGGGTATAAACTGAGTGGTAAAGCACCCCTGGGTTCAATCCCTAGTACAAAAAAAAAAAAAAAAAGAAAGAAAGAAAGAAAGAAAAAAGAATGGCCAACTTAGTTCTAGGAGGCCTAGGCTGAATCCAGTTAAGGTCATAGTCCATACTTTCAAGTGGTGGTCTTTCTCCCCCAACTCCGAGGCTAGTTTTTATCCCCACCTCCACCCTTCCTTCCTCTTCCTTTCCCCTCTTCAATGGCACTGTGTTATGAAGGGCCTGGCCACACACAGAGAATATTACAGGAATAAAAACTGGAAAAGAGCACACAGTTATGAAACATTAAACTTAAACTTCTCTTTATTTTGCTCCCCAAATTTCTCCTCCCCTTCCAAGAAAACATGAACCTCGACAGATTTGTGGTTGGTGTTATCTTCAGCTGTAAAAGCCAGCTGAACCAACAGAGCAGTCCTTCTGTTTCCTGCTGCCCACAGGTTTCAAAAGGAGCTACTGTGAAGGAACAGTTACCTCTTTGGCCTTATGGATGACTATTTTAGAGGAAACAGATTAAAGCAGAATCAGCTGAAATAGATTGATATTAGGAATTCTTCGGTGCCAGTTAAAAAGAGGATAAGCAAGGACAGGGAAGTAAAATGTTAGTGCCTCAATACTGTGTGAATATTGCTTTTTAAGTAGTGATTTAAAAGAAGAAGTTCAAGGCTCTGTTTCTTGAGTCAGCCCCAACCTAAGAACTTCAGTGGGAACTTGGCCTGAGGATAGATTGCCACATCAGACATTGATTCAGTTAAAGCCAGCCCATTTCAAGGTGTCACCCATTAATTTATTGACCACAAATAGGAATTTTGCCCAAGGCCAGAACTCACAATTGGTCCCAATTGACCTGAAATGGATTTCTACAAGTGGCTAGGGAAAGGGAGTCTCTCTTTATAGTGTCTCTTCTTTGGTCCACTCATTCTTTCTTTATCCCTTCTCCCACTTCATCACATTAATGACTGAGCACTCAAAAAGCTTCATTAGTTGATGGTACACAAACAGCTTCCCAAAAGATTTGCAACTGGATTGATCCAGAAGCCACCGGTATAGACATTACATGTCAGAAATGACTATGGAAGCTTATCAGCTGCTTTTCAATTTTGATGTCCTTCCCTTTTCTTTCATTCCTGTCTCATGTTATTATGAAGCACTCATTTAGTAAAAGAAAGAACAGTGTTTTGACAGAGTAGCTCTTTGCTTTATGCTGACAGTCTTGGTTTATGTATGCTTTCATATAAAGACAAAATGGTCATTATTTTTTATTTTCTTAATGCATATCTAACATGCAAACTACAAAATAGGAAAAGAATATTGAAGTACTGCAATGTTTTTCTGGATGATGCTAGTCTTACCTAGACTGGAAAACTAATGGCCACTTTATGTAGGGAAACGAGATAATGTTTTGCAAAGATGAAAGTGTATTTCATCCCTTCTCCCTGATTTGGGGCAATTTTTAACATCCTCAATGACATGTAGCTGAATTCAAGCTGCCTTTGTAAGACCTGGAAATCCAAAGGCTAGATATCAAAATTTCTCCTTCAAGAAACAATCACTAGCTGCACAGTTAAGGTCGTAGTCACTATAATTAATATACAAGGATGTAGTATTTATTTAATTTATGACCACTGATAACAAACAACAATTTGGAAACTACCTAATTGTAGATATAGGGGAATGACTACAGAAACTGTGGTCAATCTGTGTCAGAGGAAGCACAGAACAGTTCAAAGCAGTAAAAGAATTTATGTGCTTGTAACTAACTCATCTTTAAAGACAGCAATTTAGCTGAGCACAATGGTGCATACCTGTAATTCTAGTGATTTGGGAGGCTGAGGCAAGAGGATCACAAGTTCTAGGCCAGCCACAGCAACTTAGCAAAACCCTGTCTCCAAATAAAAAAATAAAAAATGTCTGGGGATGTAGCTCAGTGGTAGAACCATCCCTAGGTTCAGTTCCCAGTACTGCAAAAAATAAATAAATAAATAAATAAATAAAAATAATACATAGCTATTTTAAAAAACACACTATACAATACACACACAAAATAATACTATGTAGTTTGTATCTAGAAGAAGGTCTGTAAGGAAAGTAAGAAATTGTAAGCATCCCTTGGGAGAGGCTAGGGAAGACTTGAGATAAGATGTTAGAAGGAGAGTTTAGCCTTATAATATGTAACATTGCCTTTTTAAAAAAAAAAAAAAAAAACATCTGTAACCATGTTACTTATAGAGTTCAAATTTAAGCCTTTTTAAATAGTCACAGTAGTGCATGGTTGTTAGAAGAGCCCTGATTGCTTGCATTGCTCCATTTAGCTAACGCCTAATATTATCCTGAAAAATCAGCTATTCTTGTAGAGGATTGTTTACTGAGGCTCTGTTCTAGGACAGCAACGGGAAGAGAGAGGGTAAACAAGCAGGAATTTGAACTAAATTTCATCATGGAATAAAACACGGCTACCTCCCTCTCCACCCTGTTGGATCTGAGCCACTCCTTCTCAGTGGCCACCCGAGAGAGAGAGACACAGAATTCTAGAACCACAAAGCACCTTAGAAACCTTTTCCCCAACCATTTGTTTTAAGGTGGGAGTCCTGGTCTGCTCCACTTAGAATCCTTTGCTCCTGATGACTAGTCCAGTTCTCTATGCCCTCATTTTTATAGCCATCCCTTGGGACCGGGGTAGAGGCAGGCAGGGTCCTCTCTGTCCAGCTGGGACCAACTCCCCCCACTAGTTGCACAGAGAAAAGCGGTTGCTTCTTCAGAGCTGTTTTTTCCTTCTGTGGGGGATTGGTCTCTTGAACTGCATTTGCAGGATTCCATTTCCGTAGAAGTCAGTTTCTTTAGGTCCCCTCTTTTCTATTCACTCTTTTTCTTTTTGTTTCTCAACCTCTCTGGTTTTCTCTGTCTCTCTATATTTCTGCCCCTTTCCAACTTCATTCCTTTCCTCACTGTTCTCTTTATTTACTGGAGAGATGTTCTCCAAAGTAAATTTTTGTGATGATAAATTTCAGTACTACTAATAATAAAAAACTTGAGACTGGAAGGTAGATTCAGTTTTAATGAAGTGTTCTTTTGCTTTGCTTTTATGTTACTGCTTTTTATCTCTTCATCAAGGAAACTGTATTCCATCAAACCTCAGGGTGTGATAAATAACTTACAAGGATGCACGATTGTACATTACTCTCCTGACAGGATGACTCAACGCGGGTAGGTATTATCTACATTCTTTAAATGGTTTCCTGCAGGGGTGAATCCAAGCACACCCAGAAATACAAAAGCGTAGGAGAATAAAATGTCTAGAGGTGACTTGCTCGGCCCATTCTGATTTCCTTGCAAGAAGCTGCTTAAAGGGCCTAAGCAGCTGAGAAATAGATGTCAACACTCTGCCTGTGATCTGCAGCCTTCCAAGGTAGCTCACTCATCAGCCTGTCTCTCTGAGTGAGCATCTGGACCTTGTAGCTCTTTACGGACTCCAAAAAGAAAGGGCAGTGGCCATGCAGGCTGGGAAAGGCACGGCCTGCACTGAAGCAGTGGCTGCCTCGTCTGTTTAAGAAACATTTTTCTTTGCCAAGTGCTTTTCTAAAGAACTGGAATTCCATAAAGGGGCATTTCCCAGGTACTGAAACCCTCCTTTGAACTTGTGCCTTTTGGCATTTTCATTTGCATCTGCTTAAACAGACACATGTTCAGCATTTATCAGTCTAACCCTGGCTGGGGCCTTCTCCCTCCTATACTATGAAGGAAAAATATTATAAATAATATATATAAAAATATTATATATAAATATATTATAAAATATTATATATAAATATTATATATATCATATTACATATATCAATCATATATATTATATATGTATATATACTTACATGTATATATATATATGTGTGTGTGTGTGTGTGTGTGTGTATACTTGACAGACTCTGACCTATAGAAAGTACTGAGTTGTGACACAAACAAAATCAATCAAGTTTCATTTGAATCATTCTTTTCCTCTCAAGATCCTTTGATAAATCTCAGAAGGAAATTCTTCAGTCCCACAGAAGCTTAGGAGGGCAACCATACACTTTGATTTTTGACTTTATCATGTAATTGGGGTGGCAAATTTATTGATCAGTTGTTCACTGGATCAGTGGGTTTATTAGTCTGCTTTTCTAGTCAAGTAACTTGACAGGACTTCATTTAAAAATGATTGTAGTGTCTGTAACTGGGTTCCCTGTGGGCAAAGACCATGGGTTACTGAGTAAGCATTTTATTACAAAGTCTCCCACACAAGCAGGATAAAGATCCAAGCAAACTGGGAAAATTAGGAAACTTAACATGTTACCATGTTTTCCCTAAACTACTGCAATTGCTTTATTGCTGGGAAAATTAGGAAACTTAACATGCTACCACCTTTTCCCTAAAATACTGCAATTGGCTTATTGCTAGGAAAATTA